GCGCGCGCGGATGTCATCCACAAAATGAAGTCGGAGTGGCCTAATATTTAGCTCAGGGCGACCGTACGTGGTGCGTGGTGTGTGGTGATGTACGGCACTCCCGCGTGGAAACAAGATCACTTTCCGACAACACCAGATCATTTTCACTTTTCTCATTTCCTTATCTCGTGCCGTTCACGTCAGGCGGAGGAAAATTATCGCTTTGGTTCGCGTCGCGACATAAAAACAATTTAACTAGAACTGATTACCTAGTTTTATATATCACGTATACCTTTGCATTTTTTGTTTTAATTGCATGTGTTTTGCATGTATCTTAGATCATTCTTAGTAGTAGTAGTATTAATTAACACAGATTAACTTTCATGATAATTAAATCATTCTTGTGTTTCTGTTAGTATACAATTTGTACTTATTAGTTATGTTTTTTTTTTTATTTTGGACAGGGGTAAGCAAAAGATTAATTCTTGTTTCCCCTGCCAAGTTACATTCATGCAACAAAGCTGACATGAATAAATAAATGAATACTTTACTCCTAACTTCAAAGCTTCAGCTTTTTACTTAAAACTTTCTATATCGGAAAAAAATAACACAACAATCAACATTGTTTGAAAGCCTTATACGCTTCTTGACAACATGTAGTTGATAGATGTTATGTACAAGATTATAAAGCATATTTAATATTCTCAGTCTGAAAATCTCATAGAATAATGTTTCAATCATAATGATCGTTTCTATGGTCGAAGATTTAAAACTCTAGCTACTCTTAAAGTTGTCACAGTTTTAAACTGTAGAGCAAAACTAGAAAATGCTACCTTCTGTTCGTAGTTTGGTTTTGTTAACATTTTTTTTTCATTTCAATGTACAAACAATACAATACATAGTGGTAACGCACTCAAGCGACATAGCTTATATTCACGTCACCACTAGACATAAAATAAAAATTACAACACGACACATAACAAGAAACAGAGTTAAGCTATTAAGATATTTGTTAACATTCTATAAGATTGTTTAACCAAGCTTTAGCTTAAGCTTTTGCAGTGCTCGCTACTCAAGAATTTGAGTTGAAATTGTCTGGAATTAGTGTGAACAAAACGCCCCGAGTGTTCAGCATATAGCCTGACAAAAATGAGCTTGAACCGAGGGTTAACCGTTGTCAACAAGCATTTTCCGTGCCATTTCCATATTTCAAAGGATTCGTTTTGCCCACCTTTAAGTTAATGGTGTATGAACACAATGCCTCCTTTGTGTGGGAACAACGTGATATTTTAGCTTTGTACATCATAGTTAGAAACGTATAAAAAGTATATGATGCAGTTTTGGACGATTTAATGTGGGATTTTTAGTAAAACAGAGTACGGGTTTACCCGGGCCACGCTTTGTCAATGGGCTTCTCTGACGTAGAGCTAGCCTGTTTCCCTACGGACCCACCTTTCTGCAAGATTCATTACAAAATAAATTAGGCTGTATGGGGAATTTGGATAGTTTACACGGAATAAATGGTTCATAAATTGGCTGTAATTTAGGAAAAACCCAGTAGACTCCGTCAAATTTGCCATGAATATAGAAAAGTAATAAAATCGAACCCTGCAGATGGTACGTGCGGGGGCACGTCGGCGGGGGCCGTGAACCGTGCTGCTCGGGCGCGGTAGCGTGTCGGCCCGAAGCGTACACGTTGCGGCTCACGCTGCGCCGCCGTAGATTGATCGGGGGGCTTCTCCCATCATTTCACCGCCGCCGCTGCACATTTCCTGCTGCTCGGTCAGTCGTGGGCTCCCGCAGATCAACACAGAAACAGTCCCAGCCATTAACTCTTCTCGCTCTAGCGCTGCCCGAACCCGGGATTCTATTAGACCTGCGATCTATATCTCAGAATTATTGCTGGCCGGTCTGGCCATGCATATTTATGACAAATTTCCCCCCGAAAAATAGACCGTTATGATATTTTCAATTTTATGCTAGTGTATGTTGGCTAATTCTATTACTGGCCCTTGTATCTACACCTCGTTCGTATCAATATCTGGGTGTCGTGCGGGTCAGGGCTGGGACGGACTGCTATACCGGGCGAGGTGGAAAGAATCACCGCCGTTACCAGTTCCGACGAAACGGGCAGATTTTCAAACCAATTCCGTCCGAGTTGGGCGCTCATTATTTTCAACTAGGATCGGGAACACGTCGGAATAAATTTGCGGTAAACGGCCTCAGACGAGTATAGACCTGTCAGAACCTTCTTGGCTAGCTACTGGTGCGAGGTTTTTTCCTTCACCGTGTCTTTATAATGCAGTTTTCAACGACTGAATTTAGGGCAACGTATATTTTTCTAGTCTTAGACTCTAATGAAATCATGGCCCAAAGATTTCAAACTTTATCCAGTGCCATTACAGTGAATCGCGACGTGCATTAGGGGTAATAAAACCGCTCACTTAACCTAGCCTACGTTTTAACAACCTCTGTGCAGACGGCTAGCATACAGGCAGACCATAACGCCACACAAATTGGCAAGACAGACGACTTGGTCAGCGCAAAAATCAACCCCTCTGATATGCCAGTCGATGCGTGTATGTACAGATCTTTATTGGAAAATACTTTTCTATACAACCCCGAGGGGTTTTTCAGTTACCTCGATCGAATTTTTTTTTCCCCGCACCGAATCAATTTCGAACCCCCTTCGGGCGGAGTCGCGCCTCCAGCCGAAGGCGAGAGGCCGTACGTTACGGTGTGTCCGTGACGGTGTGAGGGGTTAGGAGAATAAAACACACGGCCACTGTGGCAAGACATGACCTGACACACAGCCCGTTTCACCCGGGCGGGAACGCATGAATCACCCGCATACATGGCTGGTAATGCCGCGGGCTTCAGGGTACTACCAGGGACAGAAAATACGTTCCCCACTAGCTTTAGACTTTTACATGAAACCACAAAAAAAAAATGTATTCCTTATGATACTTGACGAACCATGTATTCTTTACCTCCATTTTTTCGTACATTTACAGCTGCCTCAAGAAGCGAGAAGAAGTTGAACCTGTAAATAGTAGATCACATCAGTATGTATAGTTTAAGTGTTTTTGCTGTATTCTTTCCCCCTGTTTATTCATGACCTGTACTTAGTTTGTAAGAGCGTAAACGTACAATAAAGATCTTTCATTCATTATACACGTACAGCACTGGAGGGACTGTGCCAATGTTTACACTAATAACGTTCTTAGTTGACGATATTGGGACATAGGGGCATTGTCACATGTTATTGTTTATATAGATACAGCGAAACCGTGGAAAAGTATAGATGCGGAAAGTTGTATTCATTCATTTAATTTTTAAACTCTATGTTCTTGTGAAGCGCCGAGATTTAAAGTCAGAAATGCTAACAATTTTTTAAAAATCTTTACAGGTATTGACATGTATGTTGCTTTTTGATCTTAAACTGTACGTATCAATGATTTGGCGGGAAAATTTTAAAATTCAATACAAAAATTGAAGAAGCATGATACACATACACAAAAAAACGGTATGCTGATCGATGTCACAGTTTTGAAAAAATCGTTACAAGGAAAAGAAATTTATTAGGGGGCTGACAGAATGATGCTGAAAGAAAAATGTTTGTGGGCGATTTTTGCATGTCCATTTACGTTTGTCACACTCTCGGTTCAACTGTATTTAATGTTTTTTAACGAAAACAAACAATTCTCTAAGTCCTTCACAATAGTTTAGTTCTTTTTTTTTAGTCAAAAAGCCTTGAAACACTAAATCCTATAGTATTTCTAACAATTGCCCATTTTGACCGAACTGTGACTGGTACATTTGCAAAAGAAGCAACATTCCCAAAATACTTGAAGTAGAAAAGCTGGGATTTTTTTTTTTCAATTAGGATATAGAATTATTTGTGTTTTGGTCTGTAACCTACATAGTCGCACTATGCCAGTTACCTTTTAATCTATTTCTGTATATTCATATTCTAAACATAAACACTTCGTCGATAATTATCTGTTTTGTCAATAATTTTTTACGGTTTCCCAACACGATTATTGGCAATGAAAAGAAGACCACTGTCCGGTTGTATCTAATAGTTCTGCTCGCTTAACAAATTCCAAAATGACTTTACATCTAAATTACATCCCAGCGGGTATGCCGCCCTTATGGCCGGGTAGCTGACCACAGCCAAATTTCCTCAAAAATTACATTGTCACGCTCCGTTTGCCTGACACCTGCCAATGCTATTTTCCATTTACTCTGTGCTCCTATAGCATTTACAGAACAATAGACACAAGCGAAAGTTACAAGAACCAATTCCACTTTATTTTCCAAAAATTAGCAACTTTTCCACCTTCTTCCAATAATACTGACAAGTAATTATTATACTTGTTATACGAATTTAAAGATAAATCTATTCCTTTAACATATACACGTATATATAATAACATTCGATTAGAATTGAAATGTAGCAATATTTTTCCACGTATAGCGTTCCACCAATGCTGGAGGGTGTCACAAATTACAAACGACGGTTGGAAAATACCAACATCACAAAGCACAAAGCAAAAATATTAAACGAATTAACAACAAATAGACGAAGTACAGACAAGACCTAAAGGTACCATACACTAAGAACTCATTTGATTCGGCCTGCTAGGAAAAGTTACGCACCAGCTGCCGTTGTGACCGTTAATTTTTGAATTTTTAAACCACAAGAATGACCCAATCGCTGCATGCGTCTGGTAGAGTTCACAACGTGTAAATTGTTCGAGCAAAGAACGTCCACATCGCAAACACTACAGCTCGATTACACAACCGGCGGGCTACTGAACCTCAGCGATCTGACATTTTACCAAATCCATATCAATTTGCGCAAAAAAAATCCCGCTGTAGAGGACAACATGTATTATTCAAAGAGGTGTGAGTATAAATTTTGATAAATTACATAAATATTAATAATTTTCACTGGGTCTACATACATACATACACATGTACACATCTCGTTGAGTTAATGGGAATGTTATGGCTTATTTTTACACAGAACACCTGTCTGGTGAGAGTCTGAAGTTCTCGGCGAGCTGACTGTCTATCGTGATTTGGTGCTCTTTGGCTTTGAGTCTGAGCGCGGCGATACTGGAGTTTTGCCGCTCGGCGGCGAGGGGGAGGGTCGGGGACACCTGCGTCGGCGACACGGCAGTTGCTACCGAAGGCTGCACCATGAAGCCTACGGGCTGAGTGATGGGATAAACCGGGACAAGTCCGTTGGAGTAGGCTGATTTGCTGGCCTGCACCCGAGGGTATTTGGTGTTGGGTCTCCTCCCTCGGGGTACCTTGGGCTCAGCGAGTAGCGACTCGATGCTGTACGGGCTTTTGGTGACGGTGTTGATCGGGCTTGTAGCGGGCCGGGTGGGGGATTGGGCCGTACACGGCGGGGTGGTAGACACGGTAGAGCACGTTGTGGTTGCCGAGTCCGCTACAGAAACACTGTCTCTGTCTAACGTTGTTTCAGAGGAGGGTAGATTCTCTTCTGTGGTCGCGGCGGCTTCCTCGGTAGTGTTGAAATGTTCTGTGTGACTGGGCGTTTGGTGTGACGACGTGTCGTCTTGGTGATGTTGTTCTTGGTCGTCTGTTACTACTAAAGAGGCGGCCGTGGTGTCGTCTTTCCTCGCGCGTACCCGCTCGTAGTTTGAGGACGTGGAGGAAGAATCTGTCGTGTTCCCCGAGTCCGATTCACCCCACCTGCTCTCCCCGTCCGCTCGGCACGGGTTGTCGGTGGAGGTATCGAGGTCGCCCGAGAGGCTAGCCTTCTCTGCCCCGTCGTCTCCTGCCTGGCTGCCCTCCGCTCGCATCGCGCCTTTCTGCCTCTGCTTCTCCAGCTGTTTTCTCTTCTTCCTTTCCTCTCTCTCCTTCTGTCGTCTCTCTAGCTCTTCTGCTGGGATGGGGTCGCCGCTGCACGTCTGGGGGTGAGCGTTGTGAGCCGGTCGGCCCGGGCCCTTCTTGGTGTTCTCCTTCTTACGCCACTTCGCTCGTCTGTTCTGGAACCAAACCTGGGAGGAGGGAGGGGGGAACAAACAGAACAACCGGGTCAGCTAACAACACGGGATTACAGGAGAACCAAATAAACAAACGTACAGGATAGAGGAAACTGCCAATATACAGGGTTCGAACCCTGCCATGCAGCCGATCTTGTGCCCTTGGGAAAGGCACTTTACACGAATTTCCTCACTTCACTCAGGTGGAAATGAGTATTGTGTAGTCCTATATTTTTGGTTGCGGCATGAAAATAAGTTGAAAAAAACTTGAACGTGCCGTCACCACGTCTTGTGATTACATGTTGGACCAAAAAAAAAAATGTTTCGATCAAGACTAGATACTAACATACCTGTTCGTATAATAGTGATATTTTATATTTAGATTACTAGCTTTTCTAAGTGTATCTAAAATCTGTAAGTATTCATTTTTTTTCATCTCGAAAAAGTCAGCACTATCTAATGCAGGATGTTTACTAAAACGAAGAGGACTAAAGTGTTTGTCTTAAAAACTCATTAACAAAACCCATGGCCAAGTTAAGAATCTTCACACATGAACGTTCAACACTCAAGACAATAGGACTATGATTGTGTACACAAAGTTTAGAACATATAGTTTGTGTACATATAAATACAACATGAAAGTCTTTGACTGAGAAGTCGGTGATCTTTATCAAGAATTTGTTGGCAACTTTAACCATAGTTCTGAAAGTCAGTCATTTTTTCTGTTTTAAAACTTTATTAAGTTGTCATATGTTCGCTGACAGGAGAAGAAATAGGGCTAATATTCTAGGCAGGGATTTGGAATTGGAGTGGCCATATGTGTGTGTATAGTTCGGTAAAACTTGCCCCGGGACTAGGCAGGACCAGACTAGGTGTTGAGTTTCCGCCCAAAGTATTCAAAACCCCTCAGGCCACTCTGTAATTCATACAGGCAAAAGAGGGGAGCAAACAAATTTTCTCTGGGACATGAACCATAACGTCAGCGGTCGCGGAAATCCACGAATCGCTCGACTATTAAAATAATTCCTTCCCCCAGAAAAGTAAACGACGCTGCTTCTCTGTCAATCAGAGCTGTATTACCCTCATTCCAAAGTTAACCCTATTAAATATTCACACGAAGCGGTCGTCTACGGTTGAGAATATAGGCTTGAAAGTTTTAGAGGCATCCAGTGCAGTTTTTAGGACTCGGAAACCAGATTTTTCAAAGTCGATATTCTAGTCACTTATCTACACACTAAGTTGAAACAAAACTGTCCTAATATATATCGACATTCATGGAGCAAAAATGCCCAGAATTTTGACGAAAAACGGTTACCGGAAGGACCTTGGTTGATATTTAGGGTACCACCCAGAAAATAAAGGATTAATCTTGGGGCTTGTTTCTGCAGTTTAAAAGCCCAACTGTATGAAATACTGATTCAAATGTGGGACAGTATGTAACAATATGTAGCCAAGTTTTGCCGCCATGGATTGGCATTGGATGACTGTAAGACTATAGGCTAGAAAGGTTTAAAACACAGCATCGGGAACCGCATGTTTCACCGCAGGAGAGTTTGTTAGTTCTAATTTATCCCTGGGTGACAGGACCTAGTCCCCACCAGACTTCTTTTGCAGGCTAAATAAATCGTAGAAATCGGTTTAAAACGATATTAATTGTAGAGAAAAAGGTAGCCGGCCAGAGAAGCTTCTTGGTAGGCAAATGGAGCTTCTCTGGCCGGCTACCTTCTCTGGCCAATTAGCACCCTTTTTAGGCCGATTTCTACGATTTATTCAGCCTGAAAAAGAAGTCTGGTGGAGACTAGACAGGACCTGTATGATAGAGTGGAGAACTCATAAGGCACCAGTGCCCACAGACCACGACCACCGGCGTAACACAAACAAAAGATCTTGTCTCCAAACCCTGCGGTACAACAATCCTTCCCACTGTCCTAGCAAGGTGTTCTGTTTGTTAATAAAGCACAGAATATGTGAAAAACGCGCGGGACTGTGTTTTGGTTGTTTGGGGGTCCATCCTTGAGTGTTGGTGTGTGGCCTCCTCCCGGTGTATGTTCTACCCCAACCCACCCGTGTCCAACAATTACCAATGACCCGGTCAGCCGTCCGATTATTTTCTTACCAAGCACATCCGTCGGTCACTCAAAACTAAGAAAACACACTGGATCTTAGGTACGTTTCACACTGGAACTAACTCCAATACGTTTTTCTCAATGAAACACCTGATAATTTAAGTTCCAAGACGACCGTTCCTGTTTTGTTGTGTTGTTAGGGCGTCTTGTTTTTCTCTCAGTAGAAAAGAAGATCGTCTTGTGGTAGTGGAACAAATTTTGGAAATGCCTGAGGGATCTGACCGGACAGTGCTTCCCTTTCCGTTTAACGTTGATGCCTTTTTAATAGGTTGCAGTGAGGAAAAACAGAGGCTCTTTTGTGCTAGCCTGACGTTTTTGTAACCCAGTTATGTTTGATTAACTGTCCGTGTGTCAAGACACCATAATTGGCTAATCAATGCCTCAGACAATAACTGACGTTGCCTGTCACACTACAAAATGTCTCCTCAACTGTGCCCATCCCTTTTCCATGCCAAATGTGCTCAAGTCAGAGAATAGCAAGCTAGATCTTAGACCATTTCTTAACGATGATTTGAAAGAGCTGGAATCATACCATACGGGGTTTCTCAGGCATTTTTGTGGAGCCTGAAACTCCCAACGAAACTATAAAAGTCTGTAAAATACAGTACAGAACACAGCTACTCTCTCAAAAAGTCTAACAGTAGTGCAAGTTACGATTCCCCGTACAGACAACAGCTTGGCCTGTACATAGTTGAAAAGTTCATACTTCAGTGTTAAAAGTTGTTAGACTTCATTGAAGGAAGCGAATAAGCGCTGTTGCTTGCGTGGCTGTTTTTCTAGAGTACTAAAAAAAACTGGAGAAAAAATCATTTTGATAGCAATACTTAAAGTTGATTTACGAAAAGTTAGATTGAAATTTTATCTTTACTGTTTTGTCTGTGTATACACACGTAGGTCAAGCTTTAATTCTATTTCGTGCTCGAAGGATACATCCCAAGTGATTTAGAGCTAGTCTGAGTGTGTCTGGTGGTAAGTTCGCTGGTCCGTGGCAGTTTAAAAATGGCCCTTTTTTCCCTCAAGGGAACCACAGGCGAATAAACAAAAGCACGCGAGCAATCGAGGACGGTGCTTGTCCCAGAATTGGTTTCAAGAAAAGGAAACATAAACAAGGAACACGGAAATCGGCTATTGCAGTTCCGTCTGATATATATTTTCCAATTTGTTGCACATGCCTTCTTTAACAAACTTATATAGTAGTAATCTCCAAGCAGATCTTTTGGTGGGGGTAAGACAGTATCGAATTGGACAGTCGGTGGGGAAATGGTTACAGACTGGCCAATTTGATGCTGACTTCCCCTCACCGAAAAATCTGCTTGGAGACTAATATAATAGTGCATAATCTCATGTTGACAAGCTACAAAAATTCAACAAATTTGTCGACATCCTCACTACTGCAATTTCACTAAAGTTCCCAGTCAAAAACTGACCACTGTGTTTGCAAAACTGAAAACATGCAGTGTAGACATTCTTAGATATATCCAAGGGCATCTTTATCACATAAACAAACACTCTAACACATTATATCCGGTCCCTACCGTCCTTCTTTTGTTTTTAGGTTTCTTTGAAACAGGCGAAAAATCTAATTTCGAACTTGAAACATTCCTTCAACGATAAAATTTCTGCTGGGCACTCCTTCTTTTTTTACTGTTAGTCCTTGAAAGTCCACCTGTTAGCAGAATAATAAATCAAGAGAATGCTTTTGTTCAAACTTGCCGTTGTGACTCGACGAGTAGGTGTCTTCTCGTGAGAAAGTGCGCGAGTAGTGGGACACCATATGGGAGGGGGGAGGGGGGCGAGGGAGGGGCAGTTCACACCCTTTTCACACTCACACAACGGATACCACCAAATTATTAAATCATTCCGCGATATTTTTGACACCCACTTCTCAGCTTGATACGGGGTTTGGGAGTCAAGAGGGAAGTACCCCATTTAATCCCGATTTGTTTTAACAGTTTACGTTTAAAAAAAGCACAAAACACTACATCAAAAATCATTGATTCGCCTTCTTAACTTTCTTAGAAAGAGGAACTAAAGATTCTAGTATTGATCATAGGCTACATTACATAAATGCTGTTTGTGTACGTCTCTAGTTGTTGAATACCGCATGTGTACGGGTGTACGTACCAACAAAACTAGCAACAAAAGTTTGGGTCAATTTGTGTACAAAATACGATAGCTACACTTAGAGCACACATCTGTCACTGTCACGTTACAGTGTGTGGTTTGAGACAAATGATTAGAACACAATCTTCAGGCATCCAATGCGATTTCAGAGCAGCAAAACTAGAAATATTTTGAATAAGGCGATCTGTATGATATTGACACATACTGCCCCACATTAGCACATTTTAATCAGTATTTCATACTTAGGGTATTTAAAACTGCAGAAACAAGCCTCAAGATGAGTCCTTTATTTTCTGGGTGGTACCCTAAAAGTCAGCCAAGGGCCCTTCCAGTAACCATTTTCTGTCAGAATTTTGAGCATTTTTGCTCCATGAGGGTCAATATTCATTGGGACAGTGTGGTTTTATCTCGGTATGTAGATAAATGGCTAAAATATTGGCTTTGAAAAATCGGGTTTCCAAGCCCTAAAAACTGCACTGGATACCTTTTTTTAAGTCGACAGTCTAGAACAACTATTAAAAACTCAGACTGAAGAAATCACTTCTAATATAAAGCCACACTCTCAGTGTCGAACCTAATTAACTATGGTGCTTGTAACAGACAAATAACGTTTATAATATATTTTACTCACGGATAAATGAATGATGAATGAATATTACTTGCCTTTCTAATGCCTCCGTGTATCTATGGTTAAGTTAATAACGGTATATTTCATTATTTGTTTGACAAAAAGGTGATACTTTTTAACACCGTGTCCTTGATAAATTCCTGACTCTAAAGCAGAGAAAACACGATATCCAGATCATTCCAAGTATTAACACTGCCGCTTTGAAATGTGTGCGTTTCCTTTGCTAGGGTTTAGTGGAAGAAATTTTTAGCATATGAACTCAACACTCTATACTGTAAGGTAAACAAGCCAAGGGATGTGTTAAGCTGAATTATTTGTCCTGTGATTTTTTTTCTCCGCCTGGGGACACATTCAAAAGCGAGCAGGAGATGTGCTCATATGGGGAAACAAAAGCGGAATGGAGAGGTTGAGAACAAAGGCGAGGTTCCCCGAGGACTTGTGCTCACGGGCAGCCGCCGAGACATCGCCGCGGAAATATGGGCCGAGCCCCGGGTGCCCACCGCACAGGGGCCGGTAACAAACGCCCGCAATATGCCAGCGTTCGGCTTTGTTAGCGATACCTTCTATCCGTCAGTAGGGTGTACTGTACTAGCCTCCATAGCATGCCAAAAACTGGGGGTTTTGGGGGGTCTTTGGGAGCTTTTATGTGCTATTTTCTGATTGCATATACTAGACAACATAGCCGGCCTGGTTGAATTACCCCCGTCTTTAGAACTGGGCTAATCAGAAAACAGCCGAAGACCACCAAATTAACCCCCAGTTCTATAAGCCTGCTACGGAGGCTAGTACTGTACCACATCTGTGCAGCACACACGTCTACGTTCTCTCTACACTAACGTTTGTTTTGACAAGTAAGGTTCTTTAATCACGTTGCTTATCTACAAGCAGTCGGAGGAAACAAATTAGGGTTGGCGGTTTTTTGAGGTGGCCATTTCCTCCCTACACTCTGATATTTGTACTCGCAGAGTATGTATAAATAACACTAATATTTCTATCCACTAAAGTTGCACATGTGTACGCGAATGCATACATTATATTTGTTGTTTAATGTATATTCAACATGCAATCTAATTCAATGATTTATATTATTACTTACAATTTCAGATGTGGAAATAGTTTAACGGGAAAGCTTTGATTGAATTTTATACGCATCAACAAAGTGATAAACTTGTTGTTTTTCTACACCATTATTAAACAATAGCCAATCGTATTGTCCGACAGAATATATATACTTCAATAGATTTGTATCTGTTTTGTCTGGGTCGAGAGGTGTGAAAACTTGAAGATCTCTGGAGCAGCTTTAAGTGGCCCACTTAAGACCAGTTGTGACACTTCGATTGTTCCGTCTTCACCCCGATACGTTTTTACATTGTAAGAAAAAGAAGCACCACATCTTATCTGATTCACAGACAAAGAGGATCGGTATGCATGGCCAAATACCGTGTTAAAACTATCCGCCAATTTTCTTGTAACCGACTTAGAAGATATAGGCTCAGGGGACAAGAAACAGGACCCGTGCATTTTTGTCTTGCGAATTGTCGAGCTTTTTTTTTTAGGAAAAAGAAAAACCCGAGGGCTTCATGGAAGAATAGTCGCGCAGGTGCGAACTTATCGCCCATAATAGCGACTCAATCCCCGCTAAATAACCAAACACAAGTCTAGATTGAAACGGTTTGTTAATTCTAATTGGCCTTTGTTGGAGTATTCTGAATCCATTTCCTTATTTGCTTGCTGGATTTTCCTTTTTTTGTGTGTGGGAGGGGGTGACTCTTGGAGTGTTCTCGGGGTCTGGTGGATTTGTGCACCGAAACAACATGGCGGAACGGCCGGTGAAAAAGGCATGGGCGAAACGGGAGAATTTATGTCAAGCGTTTTCGGGCCCAAATAGAAGCGGGCGGTGCGTTTCCATGGGGCAGACGTTACATTATGAGACGTAACGTAGCAGAAAAATAACCGCCATGGCAAAGAGAGAGATGTGCAGTGCTTATGTGGCTAGAGGCTAGTACACAATGCAAACGTGCGCTAACTCTGAGAAGGAAGTCCGCTCAGTCAGTACACACCAAATCGTGAACTTCCGACGAGGAATACACACACGGCAAAAATAACCCTACTTAATCAGACGACTAAGACAACAAATAGATTTGCCATCCCTTCAATACACACCGCAAAGTTACAGTCACAATTATAGACTATCTGCAAGGACAACATATGAGAATTACTTGTGCTCTTTTTGAATCAACCGCTTAGAAATGTCCGTCCTTGTATGTGTATTTTTTAATAAAAAATGTATTTGTGTCTTTTTGCTTGATGGGATGATATTAATTTTAGAAGCATATTTATGAATCGCCGACAGGCATGAATGAAATGTAATGAAGAGGAGTGAAATGCGTCTATGTTCTGAGTACGAACCACAGGCACGTAATGGTCTAAAATATGGGCACGCGAGCTGCGGAATTCGTTACCGAAATTTTCCCGACTAGGTAGGGATTGTCACCCGCATCCTAATAACCCAATTCATCACTGGCACACATGTGTCAAACGGTCCCTCTCAAAACAACAAGATTACAACGTATAACACGGCGACAATTCCCGATGTTTTAATGGTTATTTGATAGAATTAGCACCTATTATGTGGCGAACTCGTTAATAAGCCGGCCATTCTTGTCAACTTTTCGATTATGTTTTTACTGTTGTTTTTAGAGGGTATTAGTGTGACAAATGACGGCATGGGGTATGTTAGGGGGAAGTGTGGGAGATATACGCGGGGCTAGGGGTGAGAAAATCCGGCTTGGCGAGGCGGGGACCATACGGTGGAGGGCCGTAACCGATCAAACGTACCCCCGACAGAAGTTTGTTTAAGCGGCGGTAAGAAGCCACAAACAGTCGGTGGCTTCTTGTCTCAGTCGCCGAACGCTAATTGATTTTTGGCGGGGGGACTTCTCGCTATTTTCCCACGAAAAAAACTGCTACAAGACTGCACGAAATACCATCACTACCACGTTTGATTAGAAATGCTTTCCGCTAATTAGGTTTAAAGCGTCGACGAGGTACGGACTAAACTACTTTGGTTTGAAGAAGTCAAGCGAGAAAAGTTCTTTACTCTATAACGACATGTCTTTCAACACAAGACTAACCGCTGAATATTTCCCTGCCTAGACGCGTTTTTCCCACACATGGAGGCACGTATATATTTTCCCCGGCAAATTTTCTTCTGGCAGCCTTTTCCGTTTCGAGAAGACCAGCGTAACGCTTGGACGGGCGAGGAGAGGTTTTTTTTTTAGTAGTACAGACTGTTTACGACTAGAGCTCAAATGGGTGTATCGTGGTTAAGAATCTCAATAAATCTTAGCGAGCTACTTAATCTACCTCTTCCTACTTTTCTGTCCAATGCAGAAATACGTCGTCTGTGGATAGTCTAATCAAAAGACCCAAATATAATCTTAATGTTCTCATTTGGAGAAGTGCAGAAAGTGTTGAGTTGGGTGTCTGATATCTTTTGAAACGTTCTTATACATGTATTAAGCACATAGAGTCAACGTGACTGACTTGAGACGACACTTTTTATATTCCAACAAGTAAACACAAGACGTGGTGACGGCACATTCAATTTTTTTTCAACTTATATTATTATTAATGCCGCCACCAACACATGGGACAATGCAATACTCATTTTCATCTGAGCTGGGTAAGGAAAGTCATGTAAAGTGCCTTTTCCAAGTGCACAAGATCGGTGGCATGTCAGGACTCGAACCCGGGACAATTTATGAAGAAAAAGAGAGATTTTTGCGTTTGTCTCACCTGTACTCTAGACTCCACGAGGTCCAGCCTGAGAGCGAGCGCCTCTCTCATGAAGACGTCCGGGTAGTGACTCTCCTGAAACGCGCGCTCCAACTCCTCCAACTGCCACGAGTTAAAGTTGGTCCTGGTTCTCCTCCGCTTAGGAGGCATGCCTTCTCCAGAATCCTGCCCGTTTTCTACAAAGGAAAACAGTAGAGAATCCCTCAAGTTGTTGCTTTCTGGAAAGACAATAATTGAGAGAAAACGTTCAGGGAAGGTGACGGTTGGTTTTGTCTGGGTAGAAAAGCCAGGTAGTAAGATTTATCAAGAACAGTGGTGAATAAGTGCATCTTTACCTGTGTAAGATTTCCTGAGGTATTTCTAGTTTTCTTGAAAATGCTGTTATATTAGGAAGTTTTCTTTGTTTTTTGTTGACAGTGTTTGGGTTGTGATTGAGAGAGCCAAACTCTTTGCCCGGCCTGCCTATGCCTGGCCAGGGAACACCTGAGTGATTCGCTACGTTTACTTTCCACCAAGTCTGTGGCGAGGCGAGCGTTAATTGTCGTGCATGATATACCCAGCGACCGTGCCGGAGGCCTTTCCCCACCGGGCTACACTCAATCACTCCGGGGGACAGGGTGAGCTCTGTTCCCGAGAAATTATTCACCATGTTACGGTGAACCGGTTAGGGCGACGACAGTGAGCGAGGTAGCACTATAACACTGCAGAATTTTTCACGACCCTCCTTTTGTTACGTAAGGGCGACCAAAAAGGGGACGTCGTCTCGACTCTTTTTCGTCGTAAACCTAATGTAGAACTAAGTACTAGTACATGGCGCTATGGGAAGTTACTGTTAGCCTTTTAGACTCGTAACCTACACAGATAGTATGTCACTACACAGTATTTCAGTCACAGACAAACACAAAACATAGGAGAAGAGATCATGAAATAAAACAAACAACGATTTAACAAAGAGCCACCAGCAACTCAACACAAGAACACATAATTTCTGTCCTGGGAGTTAGACCATAGACAGGGTTGAACATGTGTGCTAGCCAGGCCGTACCTTGTTTGTTGTTCCCAGCCGTGGTGGTGATGACATTTATGCCACCGTTCAGGATCATGGAGGTCTGCGGGAAGGAGGCGTTTGGGTGCCCGCCGCCGCCCAGGATCCCGTCGATGGAGAACGGCCTGGGCCCGCCGGGCAGGCCCGACGAGGTCGGCGGGAAGTCGAAGGCGGCATGGGGGTACGGCGGGTGGGTGTACGGGAAGCCAGGCAGGTTGACTCCGTTGAGGTGGGGGAACTGCTGGGTGATCAGGCAGTTGTCCATCATGATTGTGAAGCGTACACACACACAAATACTGTCCCTGCGTACGTATACGGACTCGAACCGACTAACAGACGAATCTTCCTGGTGATACGGACGTGACGAGACGGGACATGAGACTGATGCTCATGTGCGCCACTCACTCGGGTTTAGTCCTGACACGGAGGGGGGTGCCTGCACGTCACCCCGACACGGGCCTGGCCAATCACAGCCCGACCTTCTCACAACCATGAATACACACCGTAAAATCCTCCAATTTTCACAGCGACGAAAAAAACTCACGGAATAATTTTTACCCAAACACGCTAACATTTTAACCGCAACCAAACCAACTCATTTCTACATCCACACATCACTCTATTTTCTAGCAAATCAGTTTATTTTCATAATGCTATAACCTCAATGGCCAAGCAAAAATATAGGTGATACACAGTAACTAGTCGGACCATCGAATAGTCGATTGGCTGTTTACAGCTGAAGACATTACCAGCCCCAGTGCTCATTGGCAGCTAATTATACGAACGAGCCCCTCCCCCACACCTACGGCCAAACGAGCTGTCACGGCGAGGTGAGGAGAGGGAGAGAGAGGCCTCGGGCTAGACAGACCTGATTTTGATAGATCGATCTGTTCCTAATTACACGTTAAAAGTTATACATGGTTTCGACGCTGCGGGCGAGAAGTAATAGATTTTCATACATATTGCATTGAGTAATTGGAGCCATGTGTGTTTTCGGAACTAAAAATTACAAGGGGAGCGAGAAGCGCGGAGAGGTTGGTCGGGGGGAGGGTGGAAGGTCGCCCGAAGGAAAACTGGGTGAGACCCCGCTTGACAAAGACGACGATTCTGCCAGGCCAGTGGCAGGGCAACATGGCACGACAAGCTTCATTCTTCCCCTCCTATGACCCCAGTATGATTAATTGTGTTGCACACATCTCATAAACAAAACCACAATCGCAGACACTCAACAACCCAGTAATAGATACACAAACCATGATGGTTCTATATAAATGTTATGTATGACACCTCTCTAATATGTCCCAATTTGTGTTCAGATATAAGTAAAATATCGAGGTGTAGGCATAAATGATAAATAATATTACATACTTACAAGAACCTGCCAAGCGCTGCCACATATCATTACTGTTTGTTTTCCCTTTTTTGCTATGCCTCCAGCCAAGCCAAACTAGATTCAATTTGGTTAGAAATGTTTTTTGTATCTTTTTACCTCACAAAGTACAAGTTTCACCCCAAGTCGACCGCACGGTGGGGGAGTAGTGGCTAAATAGAGATGCTCAACTTGACAAGCTGACCTGGTAGAGACACCTCTCTTTCACCGGGCGTTTCGGCTTAATCTGAGTTCTCAATGGCCGATTTTGCGCTCCATTCAAACCACGAAGAAAAGAACACAAAGAAAACGGTTTAGAGAATGACAAAAAGTAACAGAAACCTATGAAGCAGCCAATCCGGAAAAGACGGGGATAAATTATAACTGCAATGTGCGCGTTTCAAATGGGTCTGTATGTGCATTTACGAGTGGTATATAAAGTGTGAACATTTTGCATATGGAAACAATCCTGTTTTGTTGTGATATAAACTAGCAAGACAGGATATTCCTATCTGATGTTAGTTGTTTACAGCATATATTGGCAGCGTATAGAGGGTAAGTATTATGCATTGACCGATAATAGCGATTGCTTGAACTATATATAAAAATCTACGTGTTGAAGTAAATGATGTACAATGTAGGGGAAGCGTGGAAGCTATTTCCGCAACACATGGACTACCCAGTGTTGTCATGTAGTCTAAAATACGAATGGAAACAGGGGAAAGGGCTACAGAGAACAGGGTGCCTCCAGCTAGCCTTGTTGTCACATAGGACACCGGTGATTAGCCCAGGGACAGTCCGTGTCAATCAAACAGTTAGGCAGATGGGACACGTTGGACGACTTGTCACTGTGTCCTTGCTTTGGATGTACTCGTTCCATATAGCCTCATGTGCAGGCCTTCGGGCTGGTGGGAGTTTTGATACTGCGTTTTGTAGAATTTTTACCGGCCATTCTACAACCAGCCGCCCAGTTTTGTACCCTGAGCGGCTGGTTGTAGGATGGTTGGCAAAAGAACGCGTTAAAAATTCTACAAAACGCAGTATCAAAACTCCTACCCGTCCGAAAGCCTGCACACGAGGCTATATCGCATACTGCTACACACTCTTGTATTAGGTACATGTAGATCAGCCCTATGGAACCGTAGTTCTGTGCCGGAGGTTGCCATACTTTGTACCTACAATTGTTGTGAATTAAAGTTATCTATTATTACGAAGTACATTTTACCATAGATTGTCCTTTATATGACAGTGATACACGCACACTTTTCGGTCATGTTTTAAGTAAATTTCCCCACTTCGGATACCTTACAAGTAAAGAAAAATTTATATTCCTGTTAGCCTTTGATAAACCAAATCTGCCTCATACATTTATACAATTACTAACAAGCGAGATGAAATTGAAAAGGCTATAATATGTTAGACGTTTATATATACATGTAACAGTTATATGACATTGTATATGGTTGTAATCATGTGACCTGTGCTTAGCCCAGTGCGGAAAAAATGTACAATAAAGATCTTCATTTATTCATTATTAAAATATGTATCATATTCACACTGCAGATTATTTTATTTTGCTACTAATTTTGTTGTTGTCCATTTGAGATCTCTTGCAATCGCAAGTATACAGAAACAGACCCTCCTCATTCTGTGATCGTTTTGCCTAGCCTCTACCAGGCACCGCGGATCGCTGGAAAAATAGTAGAAATTGGCCGAAATAAAGGGATAGTATACCAGAGAAGATCCAGGGCCATAGAAGCTCCAATTTGCGAGCCTGTGCGGAGTCGCAAGCTTCTTTGAAGTTCACTAATCGCTATCTAATAGGTGCAAATTGGAGCTTCTATGGCCCTGGATCTTCTCTGGTATACTATCCCTTTATTTCGGCCAATTTCTACTATTTTTCCAGCGATCCGCGGTGCCTGGTAGAGGCTACGTTTTGCCCTCCCCTACTCCATGCGTTTTCCAAGCACCCACCATCCTTCTTAATTCACACAACAGAGCAGTGACAAATGTGCAGAACGGAGCGGGTCGTTTATTTCCGTGTGTGCCGCACAGAGAAGCGAACCTTCGGGGGACGTGGGAACTTTTAAATGAAACAGAACGAGCAATTTGGAGGCAACCGGTTGACAGTGATGTACAGGGCTCCCCCTTTAAGACAAATGAGAGCCTTCGTTAACACGATTCTCCGTAATTAAATTATATTCCCTCCAAGTCGAGAAGTGAAATGTAGGAATCCGTGAAGGGAAAAGAAGACCAAAGTGCAATTAGAAATCATGCTGGGAGCAAAATTATAGTATACGCCTCTCGTCAAGGAAATCGTGCGTTCGCATGAATGTAGGGCGAGAGATGGGAAACACAGAACGTATTTTCAAATTGGATATATGATACATTTGAGTTTTAGTGTCACTGGAGGCAAGAGAGGTTGGCTATGATTTGTATCCCGTGTTTAATTTTAAAATTGGAGGCAGGAAAGAGTCACAATCCTCTCGGAAGCTCATTTTTATTTTATTTTTCTCTGGGAATATCGGAGTGACATGGAAACGTGCGGATATTATTAACTGTGGGAGCTGCCTAGTCAGCAAATAAGCGGAGCGAGAAGCCAAGCAAACGTACGCAGAAATCGATGGATCGTAGACAGGCGTTCACATGTGAGCGCTCGCGGGCAGTCTCTCCTACACAGCACCGGTCTTTTACTTCAGTATGCACCGTCAGACACGCCAACCTCGGCCGCACATACAGGGACTTACTTACCAATCAAACCATTCATTACTCCGCCGATCTATGGGCGTTTTAAATGGACAGGTACGGCTTCGTTAAGCGTGGAGGTAAGACCCTGCACTCGCGGCCGCCCCGCCGGCTGACCACTTCTGACCTAGTGGATTTGGGCGGTAAATCCTCCTAGTGGTCAGCTTAACGAACTCAGATCAATATCCGGTGTTTAGGCATGCCTAGCTTCTATCTCAGCCTTTTAATTGAGGAATCAACTTGTCGAGCGGGATGATTTTAGCGCGGTTTGGCTCCCATCCCTCGGTAAGAGATTCGTCTGCCCGACCTTCAAAGAGATGGATCTAAATGTTAAGAATTTAATTATCGTCGGATTTTCAGGGTTAGGTGGACTTAGGGTTCGTCCTTGCTGTTGAATGGTGTTTTAGTGAGGGTAGGGTTCGATCTGCCAGGTTTTGGCCTGCACTGGTTTTCCGTAGCCTCCATAGCATGCAACAAACTGGGGGTTTGGGGGGTCCAAGCAGATCTTTTGGTGGGGGTAAGACAGTGTCAAATTGGCCAGTCTTTAACCACTTCCCCACCCAAGTTGGTGGTGGTAGCGACAAAAAAAGAGCCATATATAAAAAGGTAACGATCTTCCACCATCAACCTCTGCTTGGAGAGTAGTCTTCAGTGTCTTTGGGATCTTTTATATGCTATTTTTTCTGATTGCATGTAGACAACATAGCCGGCCTGGTTGAATTACCCCCGTTTTTAGAACTAGGCTAATCACTGAATCAGAAAACACCACCAAACCCCCAGTTCTATAGGCCTGCTACGGAGACTAGGTATTTTGTGAGTTTTTCGCCATGTACCTGTTGCAAGCTAACTGATGTTATGTTTTGTCTGAAGACATTTTTACCAGCCTATATCAGCGCATATAAGGAAACGAAAGGGACAAGAAACGCCCACGTATCTGAAGGGCAACCGGGTTAATGCTAAGCGACAGGAAGTCAAGTTGGGGAGTACAAATTACTAACGGAAGGCAGTGAGTTTCTCAAGAGAGTATAGCAACAAGGAACAAGATACGGCCGGCTCAACTACAGAATAACATTACATGAGAACATAATCCTTTAGATTTCAGCGACCTTACACCGAGGTAGCCCTAATTTGATTTTTGTTTGAGGGGTCACCACGCAGTTTTTCCGAACAAATCTCTGGACAAATATTCGGGGCGTCGGGTAGCGGTCCCTTCGGGTGGTCGGTAATCTACGCGTCTGAATCGCGGGCTCACTTTCCTCTCGTTCCGTAAACACGACTTCCTTTGGGCAAATCCCCTCCGAGTCTGGGACTG